GTCTCTGCCCCCCCCCCGGGGGGGGGGGCCCAGTTAGTGCAGGGTTGCGCCACCCCGTCACAGTGTGCCAGTTGAACTCTAGCAGCGCTTTCTTTGACTGGATGCAGAGGGAGCGCACGGCTCTCACTGTGTTGTGTGCAATCAGCATTCACCTTGCTTCACGTTCTCCTGCTTTACCTGCATGGCACCTTTGTAATACTGATTGTGGGGGTGGGGGGAACTAAGCAGATTAAAATCAACAGAATCTGGCAGCCCTGTGAGTGGACAATGGTAAACAAATTGTCTTGTTGGTCACATACAGAACCACAATGGGCTGCATGAGGCCTTGAGGTACAGGTGGCCATCACTGGCTAGACATTAGTCATCTCAGGGGGCTTCTCATAAGGAACAGGAATTGCATTAGTCTCCTTGGACAGCATTCCCTTTCTCCCTGCTGTTTGTGCACCACCTAGTATCCTACAGTTGTAGGTAGTCGCATTTCAGGGGTGTTATATATGTAGGCACTTCAGGCTAAATGTGATCTTGAGGCATGAGACATCACAGAACATGAAATGCACCATCTGTTTGATGCAGAGTAACCTGATAGCAAGAGTGAAAAAATCAAGACAGGTGAGGGGACTATAGGTGCCTATATAAAACAAAGCCCCTAACATGAGTTCATTGCGGTTCATTGTTCCATGTAATGGCACTTAGACCACGTACAGCAAGAGATGAGAATAAGGGAGCTCCACAGCTTAAGCTGCGAGCCAACTGGCCTTATAGCTCAAGCTGTAGAGGTTCTACACTAAGTTTTAGAGATTCCCAGGTTCAAATCTGCATGATGGTGGTTACACAGGGACTGTCCCTATAAAATCAGGACATCTAGTTGCCCTCTTATATTAGAGCAAATTAGCATAAGTCGACGCTCCTGTCTCTTAAATGTGTCGGATTCTCTCTTAATTCTCTATTCAGGTTTTGTTTTTGGTCTTCTCCTCTTCCTCCACCATTCCCCCTTATATTTCGATCTGCACAGCAGGTCTAGTAAGCAATCTAAGTTGATATGGGCTGGATCACTGCATTGGTGGGAGACATGCAAGGAATGGTGATTCAGTGGGTGGTACTTCGCGCTATGAAAGGGTAGTGAGACAACACCCCTGCATAGCATCAGGAGGTGTAACGGGGGGCAGAAAAGAGCCCCCGTAGCTCTTTATGAAATCATTTCATGCTGTTTTGAGGGAGGCATTATATTCCAGCTGTGTTACATGGAATTTGGCAGCCTGGCAGAGAAAGACCTGTATGAATTCTCACCCTTACATTAGGACAAACAAGTCTACAGGAAGTAGCTACACTGACCTTATACACTGCTCAGATTGGGCTGGCTTCCATCAGCTCACCAGGCTCATATTTGCTCCAAGGTTCCCTCATGCTTTAGAGCTCCAGTTATGGTGTCTTCTAGCCCGTAACATCCCAATGAGACCCTTCCAATTGTGACCCAGATGGAAACCAGCACTGTGGTGTCTGCCTGAGTCTGCAGACAGCCTGAAAGGATAGCTGAGCAGTGTGAACTGCCCTTCACGAACCACAACTGCGGCATTAACTGGGCAGTTCATTGATAATAAGGTATGTCAGCATTGCTGACTGTCACTGCTAAGCTAAGCTTTCAAGAAAGAAGAGAGATGTGCCAGACAACTTAATCTGAGCAGTGTCTCATGTTGGTATTGTAGGTGGAGCTTGGGAGAAAAATGTTCCTTTGAGAGCTGGTACACAGAGCCCATAGAAAAGCTAGTCATCTTTTTTCGAGGAATTGTTCTAAAACAGTTGGCTAGTTCAGGGCACGAGCTAGAGACACCAGACTTTTGCCTCCATTGCTGGTTCAAGCCCAGCCCAGGGTGGCAATGATTAAAGGTTATTTAATAACAGTGCGAAGTCAGTTTGGGAGCTATCGGTCATGGAGCAGGAAAGCCACCAGCATTTTTAAGGGTAGCGAAACGTGGGAACAGTGGCACTGGAGCTAATTTTAGGGCAGGGGTACTGAGCTGTGCCTCCCCCTACACCTGTTTGCGCTTCTGACCGCCCCAGGCTTGGGTCACACCTAGGGCTGCCAACTCTCCTGGACCAGATGGAGTGAAAGCCTTGTTGAAAATGGTGCTTGGTCCAGAAGCGCTGGTAACTGCGCAGGTGGCTGCGGAGCCCTGGGCTGGTGATGGGGCACCAAGCATCAGTGGAGCCTCCAGGGAGCTTGCAGGGCTGATGGGTGACAGGACCCTGGGCAGGAGGCGAAACCAGCAGGACCCCAGAGGGGCCTTCCAGAGGTTGGGACCCAAAACTGGCGGAGCTGGCTGTGGTTAGCAATAGGGCCAGTGCAAAGCCTCCCCAGCCCTACTTCCTGCACTGGTGGGTGGGAAGACTGAACACTCTTGTGCCTGGAGCTGATCCCTCCAGCTCTGTGGGAGTGGTGTTATGGGAGGATTTCAGGTACCAAAAGCCACATTCACATGACAAGAGAAAGTGTAGCAAGTGTTCTGGGGAACGTTTATTTCATTTGCTGTCCTCCGGAGCGATCAAAGGGAACCAGCATTTTAACAAGGAGCGTCAGGTCCTAGCAGCATTCAGACTGGACTTGCACAGGCCTAAAGAGAGAACCGTCCTTGCACTGGGTGTAGTTGCTTTAATACAGTAAGAGCCATCCAGTAAGGAAGAGTGTAGACAATCACCTGTATGCAGGGACATGCAGTTTTAACAAAACTCTGAACCAAGTAAAAGGCTTAGAAATCCCAGCACAAAGTTCTCTTTAAAAGAGCAGAATGACTTGGGCATGGAAAGATTAAAATCAAAGCAATAGCAAAAAATATATATATAAAAATTGCAAAGGAAAGCCTCCTGGAAACTGCAAATCTGAATGTCCCGCTCACTGGAGAAGTGTATGTCTACAGAAAAGAATACAGCTTTCAAGTAATTGCGCAAAGATACAGGAGACCAGCATCGAAGTTGCAATAAAGTCATTTACGCCAGAATCCTAATGTAGAGCTTCACTAGATTAGCAAGAAGCCAAACACCGGGGCTTATTTACAGACGAAGACATTAAATAGCACTTTCAAGCAACGATTGTCGGACACAGACATTTCACTTCAACAGCCCAGCTGATAGACAGAAGAGCGTACGTACTGAGTTTGGCTATTGTTAACATTCTGGTCAGGTGACCCTGAGTCACTGTACATGCTAGAGCAGCGTTTCCCAATTTTATTTGGCCACAGAACCCTTCTGAATGCGAAAGAATTTTGTGGAACCCCTGACTGACTGCGCGCACAGCTTGAGGTAAAGCCCCAGACTGGAAAGGCAGGACACACATGCAGGGCAGCCCGTCCATATAGATGAAGTAGGCAGTTGCCTAAGGCGCCAAGTTAAATGGGGCGCCAAACGGTGGCACAATATCATTGAGGGGTTTGGAGGCGGGGGCGCCAATTGCATGGTTCACATAGGGCGCCAGTTGCTGGCAGCTAGTCTAGGGCCGCCCCTGCACACGTGTACAACAAATGAGGGACCTAGGGTTCTAGATGAATGTTTCTGTGAAAGACGTGCTGCGTGTAGCACTAGCAGACATTTAAAAATGGCGGCGCCCGGCGAGATGCAAATGAAGCCCGGGAAATTCAAATCCCGGGCTTCATTTGCAACCCCGGTTGCCTACATTACCACCCTAGTTCGAACTAGGGTGGTAGTGTAGACATACCCTCAGTTCAGACCCAGTCACATATGCCGGCCTTGTACCTGAACCTCCATACTCCAGGTGTCCCTAATGCAGAACAGCCATGATACGGACCCTGGCAGGGGGACGAGGAAGCGGCTCTGTGCAGCTGCTCCCCTCTCACCCACCTAGGGGAAAGGCAGCGCAGCAAAGTGCTTTGCTAGAGGCTTTTCCCTGTTGTTCCCATAGCGGTGGGGAGTGGTGCCTAGGAACAGTGGGTGGCACAAGCCACATGTACCCCTGGGAGTGGGGTGCCAGGTAAGCACCTCACCCATTTCCCTCTCAGACACTGTCCCACTCATTTTCCCCCCAAATCCCACCTCACCCATTTCCCCCTCAACCTCCCCCCACAGTTCCCCCTTACCTCCCCATCCATTTCCCCCTCAAACCGCTCCTCGCCCATTTCCCCCTCAAACTGCTCCTCACCCATTTCCCCCTCAGGCCCTGCTCCACCCACTTCCCCCTCAAACTGCGCCTCGCCCATTTTCCCCTCAGACCCCGCCTCACCCATTTCCCCCTAAAATCGCTTCTCACCCATTTCCCCCTCAGACTCCGCCTCATCCATCCCCCTCATCCGCTGCCTCACCCATTTCCCCTCAAATCCCGCTTCACCCATTTCCCCCTCTGACCCTGCCTTCACCCATTTCCCCCTCAAACTCCCCTCACCCATTTCCCCTCAAATCCCGCTTCACCCATTTCCCCCTCTGACCCTGCCTTCGCCCATTTCCCCCTCAAGCTCCCCTCACCCATTTCCCCCTCAGACTCTGCCTCACCCATTTCCCACTCAGACCTCGCCTCATCTATTTACCTCTGCATTTACACCTCTGTTAGCTTCAACAATATCACTCCTATTTACACTAGCATCAACGAGAGGAGAATCCAGATCAGTGTTCTCAAGTACCATGGTGATAGACACAGTCTATGAACCTAAACACAGAGAACAAGAATTTGTTTCTGCTTATTCCAGAGCTGCATTTGGCCCAGTGTCTCACTTTAAAAACAGAAAGGAAATAAAAATCTAGCAAACAAATCTGAACCGGAAGCTTTGGGGATATTTTACAATACTTAAGACAACAAAGACAAGTGCAGGCTTTGTTGTTATGAGGCTCTAAGTGAGAATGAAGCTCTTCTAAAGCCGTTCAACCAAAAATACACAGGAGGGACAGTCACAGGCATTAACTCGGATTTCAAGCGGCCTGTGTTCACAACCCCTTGTAGGTGTGACTGCCAGCTGGGCATGTGATTTTAAAAAGTCCTCTCCCTCCTCTCCTCGCAGTCTCCAAATTTTACAGCTATAACCTTGCACAAGCATCTCCAGGCTCAGTCACCAGCCCAGCTGCATATAAGTGTAAGGCCCTGTATTCACCTGCAACAGCTACTCACAGCACCAGCCCGTCCATAGAAACACAGAGCTGGAAGAGACCTCAGGAGGTCAGTGAGTCCGGCCCCCTACCTAAAGCAGGACCAACGCCAACTAAATCACCCCAGACAGGGCTTTGTCCAGCTGGGACTTAAAAACCTCTAGGGATGGAGATTCCACCCCCTCCCTAGGGAACCCATCCCAGTGCTTCCCACCTTCCTAGGGAAATAGTTTTTCCTCATATCCAACCTAGACCTCCCCCACTGCAACTTGAGTTACTCCTCGTTCTGCCGTGTGTCACCACTGAGATCAGCCTCTCTCTATTCTCTTTGGAACCCCCCTTCAGGAAGCTGAAGGCTGCTATCAACTCCCCTCTCGCTCTTCTCTTCTGCAGACTAAACAAGTCCAAATTCTTCAGCCTTTCCTCATAGGTCATGTGCTCCAGCCCTCAGAGGCGAAAGCAGCTGCCACATCCCCTCTAATGTAGGTGGGCATGGAGGGGTGGGCCAGCTGGAAGGGGAAACCGGGTGTGCCAAAACCAGGGCTGTGGCAGAATATTTCCCTTGTGAAGAGAAAGGGAAGCAAGGATCCAGTTTGCGATTCTCACAGTCACTTTGGAGACGGTGCACTTCCCCTGGGGCACTGCAGTTCCATGCTGCCCCCTTAATGAGGTTGAATTGCCAAGTGCCAATCCAGGCCTGTGTGAATCACAACCCATATCTGCATGAAGCCCCCTCGCCAAGAATCCAGCCAAGCACTGGCAGCGTTCAGGGAGGGTGAAGACTGAAGGAGTTCCTGTGCATTTCTGCCATTGCTTCACACTAAGATGTTCCTCCTCCTCCCTCCCCTTTCTAGTGAACAAATAACTATAAATCAGATCTGTAATTGCAGGATAATGAGGGGGTTATGTCAGAATAATTACAGGCTTATTTATTCCTTACAGATTACATGGCACAAGTGTTACCCTGAACAGATGTAAACTTCTACATGAATAACCAATAAGCAAATATCATGTAATTACAGAGCTGATCTAGGGTCATTTTTTCCTTATTAACTCAAGTGCTTCTCTTCAGAACAGCGCCAGACAAAAATGCCAATAGGAGCCATGGAGAGTCCGACATTATGTGGATTTGGTTATTCGGAGGGAAATGTTGGGTTAGACTTTTGCCTTATGTGTCTCTTTATGGGCCTGATTCTGAACATCCCCCATATCCGCTGATGTCTGATGCCTTTATGGGCTTGGTTTGGCTCTCCTTTATGCTGATGAAAAGGGTCAGAGTCCCCTGATGTCAAATCAAGACACAGTCCACTAAAGTCAATGGTGCTGTGCTGATGTGAAATCGCTGAACGAGAGATTAGAATCAGGATTTCAGTGGGTATTAATAGAAGCTGAGAGATGCTACGTCTATTGCACAGAGCTATTTCGGGAAACCAGAAGTATCCCAAAACAGCTATTCCATGTCTTTTGAGCATGCCCATTATTTCGAAATATAATGGGCTCGCTATTCCAATGACCCTGTGAACCTTGTTCCACGAGGATTAAAAGACGTTTCGAAATAGTGGGTTATTTCAAAATTTGGCACTGTGCAGACAGCACCAAATCTAATATATAAAGGAGAATGTTTGTATATTTGTGTCCTAGTAACTTGGACACTATAAGAGCTACCGCAACCAAACTTTGCATGGGATAACCTTTTATCCAGGAGAAGGTTTTAAGATACTGTGGGAGGGAAGAGATGAGAGACCGACGCTTCTCCCCAGGGCTGCACGGAGCTTGGAAATGCAGGAAGAAGCAGCTTCCCGGAGGAAGCGACAGGGCCAGTCACTCACTAAGGCCGGCGGAGGGACAAGAAAGCGGAGGGTGGTCTCAGGCGCCGTGGCAGGCACACGGCTCCCTTCCCTATCTCTCCCCTCAGGCTCCTCACCTCAATTATATCAATTGTCAACTTATATTTCAACAATGTATACTGACAAAGCGCAAGGGACAGTCACTTAAAGTAGTTGCAATTGATTTGGAGACATCTTGCTTTTCACATGGACAACTCTATGTTGCATGTTCAAGAGTTGCAAGTGGAAAAAATGTGTACATATTTGTTAAGAATAATGAAACAAAAAATATAGTTTACAACACAGTTTTTGATGATAACATGTAAAATTGGTGGTTTTATACTTTTTTTTAATGTATATTTTAATCCCTATCAAACTCAGTGCAACTTTTCTACCATTCAAAAAACAATAATGGACTACTGTTTTTCTAAATTTTGTTCCTCCACTTTCCCAAGCAACGCTGGGTAACTCCCGCTTGTTACAAAATAAGGTATTTTGAAATTACCTTGAAATAAGCAACGCAATTTGCATAGTACAAATTATGTAGCTTATTTCAAGGTAAGGGTGCAGTGTAGACGCACCCAGTCTGGCCCTAAACGGCACCACTTGTTAGGAATGTGTGGACATGGTCAGTCAAGGGAGCCATGTGGTTTCAGTTCCAAATTAGGGTCAAACCCAAGGGCTGTTACAGAAGAGATGGCCTTATGGTGCAAGAACTGGATGCAGATCCAAGATTCACCACTGACTAGGAGCTTTTCTGGCCTTAAAAATCTCTAGCAATAAGCAACCATATTTGTTAATCCAACCATAATTGTTAATCGGTTTGGGCCTTTAATTTGTCAAAATCTGCCCCCCCTCCCCACCAACATGCATACAATGGGTTTAGGCAACAGAAAAGTAAGTCACTAAGAACCCGAATTTAATTTATCTAGCATTCAAAAACACCAAGAGTATCACCAAAACATCTAAAGGCATGGAGTTTTTGTTGTTTTTTGTTTGTTTTTCACATTCCGCATTTGCCAAGCACACCTAGTAACTTGCTCTTTAAAACAAAGCTAATTTGTGTTTTCAAAATATCATCCCCTCCAGGCTATTCCCAACCCTGCCCCCCCAAAAAGATGGCAAAGCAAGATTTTAGTGCTAGTTAAAAATTGCGAACCACTCCATATTAAGGCAAACCACGATACAAGATTGCTGAGATGGGTCTCTGTCCTACGAAAAAAACATACTGACTCCTGTCACAGTATGGATCTTGCTAGAATACATATTCCTGCATTCCCCACAAGAACCTTATTTTAAAAACAATGATTATTTCAATGACATTTTGCCTGAACACATTCTGTACCTGTGAAAGGGAATAATAAATAACCACACCTAGCGTTCACTTTTCAACAGCAGCTCTCAACGCACATGGAAAACTGAGGTGCAGAGACTAACCCAAGGTCACCCAGCAGGCCAGTGACAGAGCTGGGGATAGAATCAGAATCTCCTAAGATGCAGTCACACGCTTTAACTGCTAGTCCCCACAGCCTCATTCCAAAAAAGATGAGATTCTAAAAAAAACCCACAGAGTTGAAGAATAGAGAAAAAATAATTGAAAATGGTTTCCATCTTTTATCAGAATTTTTCCAACCAGTTTGTCAAGAGATGAATCCAGATCATAAACTATGGATTCAGAATCACATCCAAATCTAAACTTCACTGGCATTCAATTTCTTTATTTCAAGTCCAGGCCACTACACAAAGAGGCCCGAGTTGCAGCTTTCTAACCCACCATGTATTAGAGAAGAGCCTGAGCCAGAACACCGCATCAGCACAAATAATACAATATGCTTCTAAAGCCTTGTCTACACTACTTCGGGGATCCCTGCTGCAGTGATCGATCTACCAGACATTGATTTATCATGTCTAGTATAGACATGATAAATCAATCTCTGAGCACACTCCCATTGACACTAGTACTCCACCAAGACCAGAAGATTAGCAGGCGTCAACAAAAGAGCAGACCCTTACCACACATGAGACGCCATAGTATGTCGAAGTAGATTGACAGTGCCGGTAAATGGAGACAAGGCCTAAGTCAGTTGTTCTCCAGCCTTCTGTTCTGTGGTCCTAATGGCAGAGAAAGATTCCTCCATGGACCACCTCCTCTCCCAGATTCTCAAGCCTCCCCTCAGCCCCATCACCTGGTTCTCCAAGTGCCATTCTGTGGACTAACAGTAGCCCATACTTTGAGAACAGCCACCCTACGCCTTCAGGGTCTGACCCAGCTCTCATTTAAACCAATGGAAAAACTCTATTTCAATGGGGTAAGATCAAGGTCTCATTGCTTATTTAGCATCCTCAATGCCAGAATCTTAAAACTGATAGAGGAACCCTGGCCTGTTCCTCTCCTTTAACTCTGGCATGGCAGATTAGATAGTAGCTCAGCCTTTCTAACCGGATGGATGGCTAAGCACTGGAACAAGTTACTGTGGGAGGTTGTGGAATCCCCATTACCGGAGGCTTCTAAGATTAGGTTGGAAAAACATCTGCCAGGGGTGGCCAATGTTTATTTAATCCAGCTTAGCATTGGGGTTGGATTCGAGCCTGAGATGACCTCTCAAAGCCCCTTCTGGCCCCACTTTTCTAGGGTTCTCTGAAACCGGGAATGGTAATAATCCCTGTCTGTTGGGAACATGGTCTTATTTGGAAGAGGGGCTGAGCATTGGAGAGCGGGGGTGGGGGTGGGGTGGGCTAAGCCATTTGCCAATGACACATCACAGGTGTGAACTCATGTTTCATTTTCAGTCAGGAGTCGGTAGGAGAGTGGGGGGAGGGAAAGAAGGAATGCTCTCAAACCCTCTGGTCACTGCCAGTCCAGAATGGCCTGTACTGAGCGAGAGGAAGCTGAACACAATGAAAAGTGCTAACAGTTCTCCGTCTGCTGAATATCCCTCTCTGCATCACAGCCTCGCCTAAGTGGAATTAATTAGTAGCGCAGCAAGGGAGGGTGAAGTCACATTTTCTATACGCTTTTCATTTTGCAGTGATTAGTGCAGCAGTGAGATCGCCAGCGTACATTTATTCCAAACTAATGAAGTAGCACTTAGTGACTAAAATTTTCTTGCTTCTTAAACTTAACACCGTCAGTTCCCGGAGGCTTTTTCCTTCCTGGCTTTTCCCACTATACTTATAGTGGGGCACATTATCTCATGTGTTATTGTGGGAGAGAGATTTGTGTCTTTCCCCACTGACTGAGACACAAGAGTCATTTCCAAGAGGTGTCACTGTTGCAGCAAATGGATCCTTAAATAACTTGGGGTCACCACTGCAGCTAGAAAAGAACCTGAAAATGGCTTGTTGAATCACGTGTACTGTTATCACCTGAAAAGCAAAGGGTCATGAGTTCCCACCCTGACTCTTCCTACCAGGAGAGTGATCCTTGGGCTTTGATAAAGTTGGAGCTTCACCACTTGAGATTATACATTGAATTGCAACAAAGTAATTAGCCAGGATTCCACTTCAGAACTGGAAAAAAGGAATTGAGCGTCGTCATCACAAAGGTCTGCTCTGGACTTAGTGCACCATATTCTTTCTAAAAGGTCGCCATGTGGGCCGTAAAGGAAACAGCACGTGGAAAACTCTCAGCCCATTGGAGATCAGTGATTTGGAGTGCGAGTGCTGTGAGGAGGAACAAGTCCAAAGAACCAGTTTTACTGCTTGTGAAATTAGTGACTAGCTCCCTTGAGCAGAAAGGATCATTCCTAAGCTTGTTTACATCTTCAAAAACTGGTTTAACAGGGAACGAGAAAACTCGTGCCAGGAGCACCCAGAAAACTTGCCGCATTTCCCCCAAAGTCTAGGTGTTGTCTCAGCCACACGTATTACACAGGAGTCATCCTGGGCGCTTCGACCTCTGGTTCTATTTCACACAAACCGTTCTAGCAGAGGCAGCTATTGGCTATCAGCTTCCTCTTGTACTCTGGTGACCTTGGTGGGTGGGGGAGAAGGAAGGAAGCAGCAGGAAGAGGAGGTGGTCTGGAGTGGAATCAAGATTCAACTTTCTCCTTCTTTTTTCCCTTTTTCAGGAAGGATGGGGTCCGGAATTTCTTCTTCTTCTTGGAGGGAGATTTGGATGGGGAGCCTTCTGGGGACACAGGGCCACTTGTAATTGACTCGGTTTTGTCCTTTGGGGCATCTGTGTCTGCATCTGTGGTTGTGGTCATCTGGCTCATTCCTTTGCTGAGGGCGTCTTCTGTGGTTTGGTCGTCATCTTTCCCGTTCACGACCACTGCTGCCGGCTGCGCCTTCTCACCAGCAGCAGCGGGATCGGAAAGTGCTTGGCTGGTGTCGGTCGGCTTGGCACCTTCGCAAAAGAAAGACACAAGATGTGAGGCTTTCAGAGCCAGGGTACCCAATTTCACTAGGAGAGCTGCTACTCTGTGTTGCTACAGGGCCAAACAGCTGATTGCTTTAGGGAAGCTAGAGATAAGGGCCAGCAGACTATTGGAGAAGTAGTTTCAATTGGGAGACCACAAGCTAATAAGGGTTGGGCTTTTTCTAGATTGCCGAGGGCGAGCCCTGTGTCTGTACTATAATCATTCCCACAGTCTTCTGGGCTGTGTCTAGACTGCAGGGTTTTTTCGAAAAAAGTAGCCTTTTTTCGAAAAAACTTCACCTGCGTCTAGACTACAGCTGCGTTCTTTCGAAATTAAATCGAAAGAACGCGGCTTTTCTTGCGACGGCAGTACTCCTCATTTCACGAGGAAGAACGCCTTTTTTCGAAAGTGCTCTTTCGAAAAAAGATGTTCTTGAATGCAAACAGGGCTTTTTCGAAAGAGAGCATCCAGACTGCCTGGGTGCTCTCTTTCGAAAAAGTGGCTTGCTTTTTCGAAAGTACTGCTTGCAGTCTAGATGCTCTTTTCGAAAGAGGCTTGCAGTCTAGACGTAGCCCTGGATACTCCAGATTGACACTAGTTTAAATAGAAGCAGAATTTGGCCCACGTAAGGGAATTGCCACGACCCCATTCCCTTCACTCTGCGAGTCTATTGGGCCTGATTCTCCAGCACCAGGCCTCCTGGGCCAAGCGGGCACAATTTGACATTAGCCTTGTGTTTCATCCCCTTTGCACAGGGCCATGGGGGAAATCAGGCCTCTGGTGTTTACACAAACGAGACCCTTATCATGCACCCAGTGAATTGGAATTTGAACTGTGATGTCAATAGAAGCCAGAGCAGCCTCATTAAGTTTCACTAAGATGCAGAGAAAACAGGACCCTGATGGGTTGACACAATATGGCCAGGAAGGATTCTCTGACCCTCTCTCATGCCCAGAATGATTCCACATCTCGTCCACCTACCACATCTACCCCGGGTGCTAGGTTAATCTAATTACAGTGCTTAGGTTGCAAAAATTGTCACAGCCCTGAGCAAGGTAGCTAGATCTGGCTATGTTTTAAACATAAAGCCAGTGGAAGTTTAAAACCAGAAGTCTCTCCACTTCCTCCCTGTGAAAAAGAGGCTGCAAATTCCATCTATGGGAATCCAGAGAAGATGGGACTATTGCTAACTTAACAATTTGCCCAAGAAGAGCAGGTAATCCTAGGATGGTCAGGACACCTGGAAGCCCATCAGCTAAATGACCTGTATATTTACACTTTGCAAAGTGTCCCCAGGCACTTGGGTTTTCCATTTGCTCACACATGCTGTCTTTTCTATCGATACCACAAACACAGACAGGAATGTGTGTTTTGCAAAAGGTTTAGTTTGCCACTGGTGTTAATGAATGAGTCCTCGTTAAGTGCAGAAAGCTGTGTTTGGGGAAGAAGCAGTTAAACAATTGCATGCATGTCTCTCTTCTCTTTCCTCTTTCTTCTCCTCCCTCTTTTTCCCCCCTTTTCCCCTTAAGTTTCTTTACTGGATTTAGCAAGATCTTTATAACTAACACACCAGACTTCCATAGCACCTTTCCATGAGGGATCCCAAAGAGGTGCTGAGCTGCTCAACACTCTTGTGAAGCAAGGAATGATGTCCATTTTACATAGGGGGAAACTGAGGCACGGACTAGGAAGGCAACTTGCCCAAGGTCAAACATTGAGTAAGAGGCAGAGTGAGGAATAGAACCCAGGGGTCTCCTGCTCGAACTACTAAATCCCACTCCTGGAGGCTGCATTTCACAGCTTTGGTTAAGCCCACATGATGTACGCAGTGAGGCAGCGGGTCCCTTTGCACATATCCATCATGAGTACACAGCCGGCCTGGGCGCCCGATGATGACGTCATGGCCATTGACAGCCATGCAGGCAGGGGCGCCGATCGCGCCTTCCGCCTGGGGCGCCAGCTGCCGCAGCTGGCCTCAAGCCACTCCTGGCAAGATGCAGCCCGGGGGCCAGATCCGGCCTGCCTAACACTTTGATCCTGCCCGTGGATTGCATCTGGCCATTTTCTATTTATATCCTGCTGCCCCTGCCATCGAATTTCTAGGCGGTGGCTCAGGCAGCAGGATGCTATTCAAATGGCTCACAGCTCTCCGTCACGGGGCTACCCCAGCAGGGGCCGGAGCCGTGAACCCTTTCATATGCTTTCATATGCCGTGAGCATATGCAGCAACCCCGGGCAGCTGCCAGGCAACGTAACAGCGGCTGAGCTGGGAGTTGTGAGCCCTTTGCTGTGCCTTTAATTCAAAGCCTGCAGCCCCAGACAGCTCAGAGCCCAGGAAGTATTCTGGGGAGTTGTGGGAGGCCTCCCAGAGGCCAATTAGTTCAAATTAGTGGCACCAGAGCATCCCCACTAATTGTATTTTGGACTTACACAGGAATAGCGTTATTCTTCATGAAAAGCAGGACTACCGAGGTCAAATTCCGGAACAACGGGCTTGGTAGTGGGGGGCTGCGGGGTTATTTCGGTCTAAGGTCCTAGTATAGACCAGGCCTCGGTTGTCTGGAGTGAGAAGTACTTTGGCTAGAGAAGCATCGTACTGAGCCCCGAGGAAAGCACTAGTGTAAGAATTCAGCCACACCAGCATAAGAACATAAGAACATAAGAACGGCCGTATTGGGTCAGACCAAAGGTCCATCTAGCCCAATAGCCTGTCTGCCGACAGTGGCCAGCACCAGGTGCCCCAGAGAGGGTGTACCGAAGACAATGATCAAGCGATTTGTCTCCTGCCATCCCTCTCT